GCCCCCCCCCTCACTTGCAGCCCCCGCCTCACTTGCAGCTCCCGCCTCACTTGCAGCTCCCTCCTCACCTGCAGCTCCTGCCTCAGCTACAGCTTCCCCCTCACCTGCATATCCCTCCTGACCTGCAGCTCCCGCCTCACCTGCAGCCTCCTCCTCACCCCCCGCCTCATCTGCAACTTCCGCCTCACTGGCAGCTCCAGCCTCTCCTGAATCTTCCACTACACCTGCAGCTCCTGCCTCACATCCACATCCTTCCTTGCCTGCTTCACCTGCACCTTCGGCTACTGTTTGTCCCTGGGGCTGAGCAGGGAAACTGAGTCTATCCTGGAATTCAGCATCAGGGGCCTGGGGCAAGAAGATCACAGTCCAAGGTCCACCTTTGCCTGGTATTTGTTGTGGAATCAAACTTCGGTTTAAATACTCAGCAAACTCAACCAAGGCGACCCTGGCCCCGAACTCCTTTCTGAAGATCTTGATGAGCACTCGGTAGCTGCCCAGGGACCACAGAGCGGCCTTCACAGCCTCCTGGAATTCCTCTTCCTGGCAGTCATCGGGGATGCCCAGGATGAGCAGGGAGCGCTGTGCATTTGCGCCCATCCATCTGCACCAGTCCTGCAGCATCTCCAGCACCATCGCAGATTTCGGGAGAGGAAGCATGGTCGCCAGTGGCGTGTGCTGACGGAGCCTCTGACAAGGTCTGTGAGTGCAAACAGGAGAGAAGGTTTGTTCCAGAGAGCCCACCCCACCTATCAGCTTTCCCCTATCATGGCAGAGCGTGTATTTTTTTTCCCCTTTCCTGTTTTGTTTGCTTGATTTTAGCGGACTTTTAAAATAACAAAATTAATGGATTTGCTCCTGTTTTCTACTTTATCGCTTTGGTTATAGTAAAACCCCCCCCCCCAGGATCTTTCAAGATTATTTAAGTTGTCAAAAACTTGGGCACAAATTTGCTCATAACAGTCCCTCATTATCTTTTTAACGTCTGTGTGATCTCTAGTAATACCCCCTTTTGATTCTGATATTGGTGAGTAGTGTTGTCTTTGGGCTTGACTATTTTTCTACAGTTTATCAATTTCATTACTCTGAAAAGAACTGACGTCTGGGTTCGTTAGTCATATCTGTGGTTTTCTATCACTATTTCCTCTCTTCTCTGTCCTATTTTTTTTTTGGGGGGGTGAGGTTTTTGCTATAGGGCGCATGCACTTACCAGACAGACAGAGAGAGACAGAGAGACAGAAAGCGAGAAATCTCCCCCCAGGGAGGATGGTCACACTGCAATCCCTTCTCCTCCATTCTCCTCTCGGTATCTTGGGCACGCATGCACGCGCGCCCGGCGGTCGCTTT